GTGTTGATGACGGTGAGGCCTTTCCCCAGCGCGGCTTCCCTCCTTCCCCCGCCACCGATGATGGCACGAATCTAGCCGCTAGTGATCTTGGCGGCGCGACGCAACGAAGGTACGACGACTCCTCTACTCGGCGTCGATGATGGTGGAGTGGTCTGTGTCTGGTGGTGCTACCTCGACGGCCGCTGCAGCCAGGGGCGCTGGATCCACCCTTGTTGCATCTGGGTGGGTGCGCTCGGGCTAAGGCCGCTATTAGGCGTGGTGATGTTGTGGCTCTGCTACTACTGGGTGCCATGGTGGTGTTGGCGGCTGTAGTGGACTCAGCGTGGTGGTGCTGGCAGCGCCAATGGACTTGGCGTGGTGGTGTCGGCCGTTTTGATGGAGGTTCTGCTGTGGCTTGCCGATGCGGCTCCTATGGTGAGGTGTCACGGCGATGACGGAGTGAACCATCTTGAGGCGGTGTTGCCCCTTTCTGGTGGTATGGGATGTAGGTGTGTGGTGATACAGACGAAAGGCATGCATAGCTCTGGTCGATGCTAGCAGTAAGGGCGTGTGTGGGCGTCGTTCTTCTCCTTGGACGCATCGATGTGGAGTGTAATCACCTCTCTCTCTCTCTCTCTCTCCCCCTCCCTCCCTCCCTCTCTCTCTCTCTCTCTCGATTTGGATCTGAACATTCATGCCACAATAAAGAAAATTACATTGAGAAATATGCTAGGTAGCATTCCACATCAAAAATTCTGTTTTTATCATTTACCTACTTGAGGACGAGCAGGAATTAAGCTTGGGGATGCTGATACGTCTCCAACGTATCTATAATTTTTGATTGTTCCATGCTATTATATTATCCATCTAGGATGTTTTATATGCATTTATATGCTATTTTATATGATTTTTGTGACTAACCTATTAACCGGAGGCCCAGCCCAGATTGCTGTTTTTTTGCCTATTTTATTGTTTCACAGAAAAGGAATATCAAACGGAGTCCAAACATAATGAAACCTTCGGGAGAGTTATTTTTGGAACGGAAGCAATCCAGGAGAATTGGAGTAGACGTCAGGGAAGCAACAAGGAAGCTACGAGGCAGGGAGGCGCGCCCCCCACCTTCGTGGGCCCCTCGTGGCTCCCCTGACTGACTTCTTTCGTCTCTATATATATATATCCTAAAAACATCGGAGAGCACAATAGATCGGGAGTTCCGCCGCCGCAAGCCTTTGTAGACACTAGAAACCAATCGGGACCCTGTTCCGGCACCCTGCCGGACGGAGGATCCCTCACCGGTGGCCATCTTCATCATCCCGGTGCTCTCCATGACGAGGAGGGAGTAGTTCACCCTCGGGGCTGAGGGTATGTACCAGTAGCTATGTGTTTGATCTCTCTCTCTCTCTCTCTCTCTTTCTCTCTCTCTCTCTCTCTCTCTCTCTCTCTCTCTCTCTCTCTCTTTCTCTCTCTCTCGTGTTCTTGATTCAGCATGATCTTGATGTATCG